CGGCCCGGCAGCGCGCCGCTCCGAAAATAAGGTAGGTAAATACATATACGTACTCGTATCGAGGACTTTCGATGCAGAGGGAGAACCGCTATGCTCAACTGTCGATACGATAATCGACACAGCCGATGACTTATTTGAAAATAATTGTAACATTCAAGATAACCAGTGTCGAACATGTTTAACACTAAAACTACCGAGCAGTTCAAGTTTGAAAATTTCGCTATAGAAACTCCAAGAGTGCATCTGTTCAGACTTTAATTGATTTACAATTCAATTTGCGTAGTGCTAAATGAATTTCTTTAATAATTCCTTGGAGAAACATTTGTTATGTTTCTAATAATTGCAGAAAGACATGGGTCATTTGACCCGTCTGGTAGTTTTAGTGTTAACACGTTGAACTCTGTAGGCTCCGACATTGCACCAGTTCTAATATCAAATATTTTAAGATCTAATAATCTTAAGGTAGTTCTCTTCAAGTCCATTAAAATATTTAATATTAGAACTGGTGCAATATTGGAGCCTGCAGAGTTCGAAGGGTTAATATTATATTTCCTATAATGCATCATTTCGAGAAATATTCAAATAAAATAGCTTCGTTCCTCAATGTACTCCTGATTTCTCGTCGACTTAGTTTCACAAAACATCGATCTTATCTCATCAGAAGTTAAAATATTTCTAGTGAAAGACTTCCGAGTGCAAAGGGTTAAGATAACAGATGTTTCTCCGAGAATCTATTGAAGAAATTGATTTAGTAATATGCAAGCTGAATTGTAAATCAATTAAACTTCGAATAGATCGACTCTTAGAGTTTCTACAGGAATTTCAATTGATCGGTAGTTTGTGTTAAAACCATCAGCGCTATCATGACTGAACCTGAGTAACGACAACAAGAATATTACTAACACTCGTTTCTTTCGCTCTCGACACTCAGGAACTATTACATCGAACACACTCTAAATTACAGTTACAAAAGATTCCAGCGAAATGTAAGGTACACTAACAGCGCTCGACGAAAGCGGCAATGAAGCGATAGACCCTAGGAGCAGCAACGCAATGCACAACATTTACGTTTACGGCGTATTACTATCGTGATACATCACTTCGGCCTGGAGATAATAATTCTTCAGCTTCAACAGCTTCCAGTAGCTCCGCGGCGAACGCGCGGAAGATATTTTATCGTCCGATCAGCGCTCGGCTCTGTTCCATCGCGGCTCCGCTATAAACGCACCCTCGGACATAAATTTCTCGATCATCATTCCGCGTGTAACAACGCGGTACCGCGGTACACGCGAGCGACGCTCGCGTTTCGCGCATTCCGCCTAGTCGCCGCAACAGAAATTCAAAAACGCTCCGGAGAATATTTTCCGCGAACCTCCGTAGGTGGTAGTCGCTCGCGTGTATCTCGGCGAGCAAACCGCGAGCCGAATTTCCATAATGCTTAAAACTGCGCTCCCATCGTCGGCGACGCAATCTCGGCTTACCCGCGAGATTGCTCGGCGTTTTTCGGCGCGTCTCGCCGCCGGATTGCGAGATCCCGGGCTTTTCGAAGCGGTGCATTAACGCCGGGTCGCGCGCTTATTTATCCGATTGTTACGTCAAGCCTTACGTAACCGCGCTGGAACGCGTTATTACGGTCAAAGCGAGTCCGCCGGCGCCCGGAGAGGAGTGTTCGGGCCGAGAGAGGCAGAACGAGAACGAGGAACGCCGGAGCCCGAGGGAGACAGTCGAGAAAGACAGAGAGAAAGCGGGACGGAGGAGCGGGTTGGGGGAGAGGGACGGTTACAAGCGCACTGGATGTGCAACTTCTTGCGCAAGAGGTGCTCCGCAGTGATTCATCATTGTTACCGGGAATATTGGGATATATATCGGGGAGGTCCCTCGGGCTGAAAGCAAATGGAGTAGACAGGGGTCTATACCCTCCATCTACTTAAATGCCCCTACGCTCCGCCGATAGAGGGTACTTACGTTAGCCCCGCGCGCCCCGCCGCGCCGCGCCGCAGTTTTCTGATTAAACTACGTCGATTTCCATGAACAAAGTGCACTTTACGCAGGACTTCGCGCGATTGACTTTACCCCGTCCCCGTATATTAATCCTTTTTCCGGAGGCCCGGCAGCGGCCGGAGCCAAGCGGGAACCAAGCGGGAGCCAAGCGGGAGCCGGCGACGCATCAGGAAATCGCACACGGCATACGTAAAGGGACATCTCCTTAACTTCATCTCGAAGTACTTTTTTCCATCGCCGGTCCACTGCCGCCCGGCACGCCTCGCTCGCCTCCCGAAAGCACGCTCCCTCGGAAAAACGGAATTCGCGATGGCTGATGAGGGTTGACCGATGACATCAAAGCGCCAGAAGTTACGGCGATAGAGATTTAAGCACCGCTCGTGGAAAGTTTCGCAGCGAGAGGTAATTAGAGGATCGCGTGCCAGTGATCCTCAATCAATGCCCGGTCACACGGGAATTATAAAACGTAATTACCGGTTACGCTCTCCCCCGTATTCGGTTTCACGCAACATCCGCGCGGTTCATCTTCTCGCGTTCCACCGCACGCGCCGCGCTCGCTCGCCGGAGATCTTAACCCCTTGGCGTGCCGTTCCGTTACCGAGCTCGTGTAACGTTTTACTGTCGATTTGGAAGGAATGCGGCGAGATTTTCCATTCTAACAGCGGAATTTTCATTTGAAGATGATACACTGATAACAGTGAAATAGTTGTTTGATCCGCGGGTAATACGACACTGACTCGTTAACCAGTTAACTGTGTTTGACGAGTGTACACGTCATAAAGCTTGACGCGATACTGATTCTTTCAGCGAATTCTTCATTGTTTAAACGTCTAATTCTTCGCTTCGCTTTGATCTTTCGTTAAAATGTACTCTACGTGCATTCGTCCTTCGACGAGTACATGCTCCATTTTATTTTATTGCGCGCGAGAGGTTTTTCCAACTAAATTCCACAGTTAACTGGTTAAATTGCTCTAGAAATCTTCATCGCGAGTCTGATGTCGTCATTGCACGGCAAGGTGTTAACGAGGCCGGCGAGTATCGAGTGAATCGAACGCAGCTTGTCCCATTCCAGCCTCCAATCTGTCAGCAGCCCAGCCACCTTACCCGAATTTCGTCCGCGGACTGTGTAAAAATAACCGACTCCGGCGAGCGGGCGCCATATGCGGAACGCCATGTGGCGCAGGGTCAACAATGTCACCGACAGGGACCGTCTTCACCGCGTTCACGTGAGCCGGCGCGGCGCAAAAGGGTGCGGAGCACCTGCCTGCCTCGAGGTGAGACTCTCCAGAAGGACCCGGCTCCATCCTCTCCTCGGGAAAGGGATTATCCGCGGCCTCTCGATCGGTGGTTGGACCGTGTGTAACGCGACGATCAAACCTCCCCTTCGCTTAAAACCGTCGTCAATGGGAATTCTTCCCGCGGGCACCGGCGGTCCACGGCGAAGGATCCTCCGGTCGCGCAGGAATCCGCCCGGCGAACTCCCCGCGACGGCCGAAACTTCGCCGCCATCGCGCGATCCCGGCGAACGATAAGCCGGGGGGAAAGTTTTTTCCCCGGGACTGCCGGCGAATTCATAATTTTATTACGAAAAATCCCTCGCCGCCCCGCCCGTCGCCTCTCCGCGGGAAGTTCGGCCGCGCGATACCGTCCCGGCGAGTTTCGCCGCGATAACGGCCGTCCCCGCGCGAGAAAAATGGAATCCCGGGGAACGCGAGAACGCGCGGGGACAGATTCATTAGACGAGGAAGTTGTCGGAGCTGCGCGTCGGCCGTGAGAAGTAATATTTCATGAATGGCGCGGTTTAATTATCGGAACGCTCCTCGACCGCGGAAACGTCGTGCGAAGATTTTCCTCGTTACCGCTGAACCTGCCTGAATCGGACCCTCTGAATCAGTCCTTCACCGGACTGTCGTTTGGCAAACTTGGGAGTAGCAGGAAGAAACCCTAGAACGCTCATTCTTAATTTCATTTTCTATATATTCAACAGACAACATGTTTCTCTGAGAAACTAGAGAAACAGGTTTACGCGAACTGACAAACCAAAGTCTCGATAATCGCACCGTTTACAGAACAACTTCAAAAGACAATTGAACTGCTCGGTAGTTCTAGTGTTAGAGGATAATCGCACGGATAAGCCTTCGTAGAGACGGTTAACCCCTAATTCCTCGAGCAGCTCGGAGGCCAAGTGAAACGATAGAAGCTAGACGTCCTCCTTTGATCAAGTGACATCGCCCGTACGAACGAAACACGCGTCGCGGCTATTACGGTAATGAGGCCGAAATCCCTGCGTGTAACGGGTGTTCCCGGCGTGCCAGGGCGAGAAAGAACGCCGATGAGGGACCGTTGAGCGAGGGCGAGCCAGCCCCGAGGTGAAGTACCCTTCAGTACCCTGCTCGGAAAGGGATTATCCGAGGCCGGAGTCTATCGGCGGTTCGCCACAGTGTAACACGACGATCAAAGTTCCCGAGCGTTGTGTCCCGAACCTATAAAGGGAGGCCTGCGTGCCCGGGGCATCGCCGGATCACAAAACACATAGCGGAGGACCCGATGTGTGCGGCGCGGCCGAGACTGCGCCCTGTTATTGTTAGTTATCGCATTAATACTCGACGACGGCGTATCCGTGTACGAGCGTTGCTGTTTCGGCGCCGGTGCACGGAGCCATTAGCAACGGGCCGCGCTGGATGTACAGGCGTCCTGTTCAAACACTTCCTCCGCAGGAATTCGATCCGTCCGCACCGCCGCCCGGGATCTTCGGCGTTGTCTCCGGCTCTCGATAAAATACATCGGGTCTATACGGATTTCCTTCCTTCCGAGGACACACCGCCGCTGCGACAGACGATACTTTTCAGTGCGAAGGGATCCGTTACGTTTTCTCGTAACGCGTCCCAGCGCGGAGTGCCGCTGACGCGACAACATGGCGCGACACCTACAAAATGGCGGACGGAAAATTGTATACTTCTGTTGTACGATGTTCTATTCAGTTCTTTTTTGACTTTTTTACCTTGAAGGAAGTTGTTTGTTTAATGGGTTAGGCTGCTTCGTTGAGGTACTGCGAGCTGCTTCGACGACGAGGACCTGGAAATAGTTTCAGCTTTAGTATCTAGATGTTTGTGCAATTTTAGATTTTACATGAAGCAAATGAAGTTAGACTTGATTTGATTTGCAGAATTTATATATGTTTTCTTATTAGTTTCAAAGAACATCGTCTGTATCTCTTCGGAGAATAGTGAATATTTCTAGTGAAGAACTTTCGAGTGCAAAGGGTGCTTATAGATATTGTTACTTAAAGTTGTAAGCGGTTTATATTTAGGAACTCGTCGCAGGATTGAATAAAATATTACAATCGAGGAGATCTTCACCGAAATAAACGCTGGTAGCAACGTGTTAAGGTGATTCACTGCGGATCTTTTCGTATAATGCATAAGAATCTGAAGTTTAGAGATCGTTTTTCTATTCGAATGTCAGTGGTGATCAGGGTTCGAAGGGGTAATGAAGTTTCATCGATCCTCCAGCGCTAAGTGTGATCGGAGTAGAATATTCCCAACTGTTCTTAATGGAACTGTGAAACGTTCCCGACTTCGAAGGGTGCAAACGTTATGCTCTTGCTCCGAATTTGCCAGGTCGGATACCTAGAGCTTCCGCTAATTAACTTAAGAATCTAGATCAGCGATGAATCGGTGCTCGACAATAACGATATCAAGTCGCCCCGATGATAGGGAAGAAGCCGTCGAAGCGCGGCCTCAACACGTGACGCGGGGTGTGCTAGTAGATTAAAGCTGTTACTAGCGAGATACCCTAGTACTTAATAACTGTGTAATAATCGCCATGTTCGGCTCATAAATGTCTACCTCATATCTAATACCCCGTTTCATTATCTCTGAACTAACTAGACTCAGCTACCTCACAAGTAGACCGCGGATGTCCATTCACGAGATTCAACAGTCCAAACTTGCAAAAATAATAGAAAAGAATGCAAAATCTATTGTACTACCAATCAACCCTTATCGGACAGCTGTTTATACACGATTCTAAATAATATTTCTAAAATCCAATACGCGTCAGTTTGACGCGTTCCGTAAATCTAGTGTTAATGTACGTATATTTTCTCATTAGTTCGTTTCAAATGTCATCTACGTCTCACAGGAAAGTGTCGAATGTTTCCAGTGAAAAGCTTCCGAGTGCAAAGGGTTAACACTAGGTTTACTGACGTTTATTGTAATCTATTGTTCCTAGAAAAATTGACAGTCTCATTTGTATCTTGGCAATACGCTTTCGTCAATTATACATATTCAGCTGTTAAACGCATGTACACCGAATCCGCTTCGCGACTGGCACAAAAGCGGGCTGGGGAATGTCAGGACGTGTCGACGGTGTTTCTCCCGCTGCGAAAAAGCTATCGACGATGACACCCCGGCCGCAGGGTCAGAAGTTGCTCCCCTCCGGGCAGAAAGTCACAGCTGCCCTCACACCTCCGCGTCGCTCGATCTCGTTCGACCGGAAGCGTGCGCCGCATACCGCAGTATGTTCAGTGTCAAGGACAGCTGTTCCGATGTCTACGACGGCCGAGACTCTAATACCGATTTCTTCTTGTTCTTCGCCATCTATCCCCCCCTTTCTCCCAGGGGTTCTTTTTTTCCGCTCCTCACCACGCGCCCCCGAGATCGTGTGTTGCGTGTCAAAGTCTCGATCACCTTTCAGGAAGTCGTAACGCATACCGAGCGCGGCGCGCGACTCGGGGCCGGAACACGCCGATTCGACGTGATTAACGCTCGCATCGGCGAGGGATTAACATGGGGCGGGCCCCGTTCCCGATCGTCCGTACCGAAAGTTTGTAATAGGATCGCGGGAGGAAATTAAGCGGGAATGATCGAGAGTCGGCCGCCGGGAACGAGTCGGCCCTCGTGTCTCTCGTTTGTCAGTGATAGCCGGCCGGACTCGACTGTCGTCTGCGGGTCATTTTTCTCTCGCTGATTGGGACTGTTAGCAGATCACGCGGGGCGTGCGACAGATTTGTCGTTTTCGTTTAACGCTGCGCCGGCGATGGGAGTCTCTGCCAACGTGGCCTGTGTGGATCTTTTACGATTAGGCTTGATTTGTCATTGCTGCGAGTTCGGTAGAAGTCTGAGGACATTCTGAGATACTTATTATAGAGACTATTTTTACCTTTTGTGGGTGAATATCGATATTTCGGATGAAACGTTCGTATTTGGAGGACTAAGTCGCAGACGAATGATTTAATTACTCGGATAGCAAGAGATTAGCCTGTAGCTTCATCTGTTGACGTAATTTAGCTTCATCTGTTGACGGTTTTGTAAATGACATTTGAACGAATCTTCATATTATTTTAGAATAAAAATAGAAAAGTGGTATTATGTTATGAGGAAGAGAGACTCGATAGACCTTTGACACTAGAACTATGATAATTAACCCTTTGCACTCCAGAGGCTCTAAGTCGAAAATGAGAATTTTAGGCATTCTATACAATATTCCTTATTCTTTTACAACAATGACAAATCCTGTAGTAATCCATTTAGCATAAAACGTGTAATTTCATTTGCACTTTCAATTTACTTTATATTACGATACATTTCCAACCAAGATTGTACCAAACAGGCAATCTCTTAATATATTTGACTGGCAATGGGTTAAACGGTCGCAGCCAAGAAACCACAAAGCAAAGGGTCAATGCAGAATATACACGCGTCGCGACGTACAATCCCTTCGAGACTTTTCACAATTAACCGCCGCCGGCGCCGGGAAATTAGCGAGTGATAATAATTAGCGTTTCTCTTTCGCACAAACGCCGGCGGATCACAAAGCGTCTTTGGCGGGAATGTTGGGTGCACAGAGATGGTACCGGGTCTGTCGTCCTTTAGCCTAGTCCTTTTGATCCCTGTGTCCGTAGGCGGCGACACAGAGAGCGGCAGTGAGTACTTTATGGAACCCGCTCGGCCCTAGTTCGAAAATCAACGCTGTTTGTGATCAACTTCCTCTAAACGTAGTTAAGACGACGGAACGCCGGGGACACGGAGCGTTCTAGCCGGCGACGGATCCCTTTGATCGATCGCGTCCGTTCGATTCCGCGGTGAAAAATAACGCTCGCCCGTGAACGGAATCAACGGTGACCTATAGGAATACTTTCGGCGTTTCAAAGCCGGTGACGGCCGGGAAATTGACGAGCGATAACAATTATCCGCAGCCGAGGAACGACGTTCCGCGCATCGAGCTGCTCCAGTTTTCGTTCGTTCGCTTCTTCACCGATTCGGGATTCCCGCACGTGTTTCCACGGCAAAAAGAGTTTTCGCCCGTTAAGTAGAAACCGGTGTAGCGTTAGTTACGCTTGTTGCGCGAAATTGAACGTTTAACGGGACGATACGCGGAGATAATACGGGACACCGAGACGCGTTCGTACGACGGTGAATTTTAAATACGAGCGGGATAGCCGGGGAGATTGCGAAACAGAGGCTACACGATCTGTTATTGGTAGGGCTTGTGGTGCGCGGCGGTTTGCGGGGGAAATGAAAGTAGAGCTTGAACTGGTAAGTCCTGTGTTTTACGAAGCAGCGAGTTGCAAATTGGTGAAGTTTTCCGAAGTGAATTCTGGATTGGTAGATTTTTAAATTGGGAAACTTCGTGTTAGTAGGTTCTATGTTTTTTAAAATAGTCGATCCTGCGTTGCTAACTTCTATGTTTTCGAAACTGGTAAATCTTACGTTAGTAAGTTCTGCGTTTTCTGAACTAGGAAATTCTGCGTTAATGAGTTCTGTGTTTCCGACACTAGCAAATTTTATATTAGTAAGTTCTATATTTTCTAAACTAGTAAATTCTGCATTAATAAATTCTATAGTTTCGAAGCTAGTAAATCTTACATTAGTAAGTTCTACATTTTCCAAACTAGTAAATTCTACATTAATAAGTTCTATATTTCCTAAACTAAATCCTACGTTACTAACTTCTTCATTTTTCAAACTAACGACCAAATCAGTAGCTCTATTAACTTCTAAATAAACTCAACGATAATACCTCTCAATATACGTTAAAATCACTATCTTTCATATCATTAGAAACACCTATTCCATCTAAAACCTTCCCCATTCCCTTTCGAAAGATCACAAAGCCATACCAGCAATTAATTACAAAAGTGCGAACAATATTCCGCAGTGTACCGCGCACCACTGAAAAACCCTTACCACCGACGTGGAAGCTAGCCCTAAATTACGTTAATCCCACCCCATCCCGAAATTCCTCGCATCCTCGCTCCTTAGCACGATCACATCCCTGAACACTTCCCATCATCGTTCCACGGACCACCGGCAGGCTATCAGCATACCACGAGGCGTTATCCTCGCCATGAATGAATTTCATCCGCAATTCGTGGCCGATTCCCAGTTAATACTGTTCGACCCCCGAGCGCTGATCAACCCCTGTACACGGAGTCGCTCGGATTCGCTTATAACCGAAGCGTGGGTGGCCTCCTGCTGAAACGGCGCAACGAAACGCATGTTGAAACAGCGCGGTGTTGCGTGACGCTGCAGATAGGGCACGGATTCGCAGTTTCCTTTCGTCCCTTTGCTTCACGGACACCCAGCTGCATATTACACAACTTACGAGCAATATTTCCATTATCCTCTTCAACCCCCGTACAATTTTCACGAGAAATAGATGTTCTACCTCTAGGTTCTTCATTACAACATTAGACACCCTATGTTCGTCATTCTACTGAAGCTTCAACCCCTGACAATCGCCTAAAACAACTAGCAAAAGCTAAAAGCTACAATCTAAACTAGAATCACATATTTAAAGAATCCCACGAATTTAACATTCGAATATTCAACATTCACCCTGCTTTACAAGCAATATTTCCATTATTCTCTTCAACCCTCACACATTTCTTACGAGAAATAGATATTCTACCTCTAGATCCTCCATTCCAACATTAAACACCCTGTTCATCATTAACTGAAGCTTCAACCCCGGACAATTGCCCAAAACAACCAGCAAAGGCTAAAAGCTACAATCTAAATCAAAATTACATATTTAAAAATTCCGAGGAATTTAACATTCCAATATTCAAC